TTAATGTAACTTAATTTTTTTTATTCTTAATGATTAATTCTTAAAAGTTACATATGTATTATGATATATTTAAGATCATAAATTTAGGAAAGATATTAATTATATGCATACTTAAAATCACAAATTTTCAAAGTGTACAAGATTAATACAAATATGTTTGCAGGGCATTTTACATCGGAACTTCATCGCTAGAAGAAGGTGCTACAATTAACGAATGTTGCACCTTTCGCGGTAACTTTCTCAAGTTAGATGTCAAAACAGGCAAAATTCTATGGAAGACCTTCTTGCTGCCGGACAACGGCGGAAAACTCGGCAAATACGCCGGAGCTGCCGTATGGGGAAGCAGCCCTTCCATCGATATCCGGCGGAACCACGTCTACATTGCCACCGGAAACCTCTACTCCGTACCTAAACACATCGAGGAATGCCAAAAGGAGCAGAATCAACAAAATCAGACCAATCCGGATCCGACCCGACCCGACAAGTGCATTGAACCCGAGAACCACTCCGACTCGATGTTGTCCTTGGATTTGGATTCCGGAGAGATCAAATGGTACAAACAGCTTGGAGGATATGATGTGTGGTTCGTCGCATGCGGATTTAATTCGACGAACCCTAATTGCCCGATTGGCCCGAGCCCTGATGCTGATTTTGGGGAAGCTCCGATGATGCTAAGCGTGCTTGCTAATGGAACGAAGAAACGAGACGTAGTAGCAGCTGTGCAGAAAAGTGGAATAGCATGGGCATTGGATCGCGATACTGGTGATATCTTCTGGACAACTGTACGTGCTCCAAAACTATTTAATTTGTTATGAAAACTGTTCATGGTGCCATCATAAACTAATGCCTTAGAGTAACCGATGATTTTTGTGATTCTATTTGGACTTTTCCTTCAAAAATAGAAGCTAATGTAACACTGATGAAAATGAGATTGATGTATGCAGGAAGCTGGTCCTGGAGGTACGGCAGGAGGAGGTATATGGGGAGCAGCCACAGACACAAAGAGGGTATACACCAGCATTGTCAACAGTGATAACCTGAACTTCACATTAGTCCCATCCAAGAATGTGACCACAGGTGGAGCCTGGGTAGCAATGGATGCTAAAACTGGCAAAATCCTATGGACGACTGCAGTTCCAAACAAAGGTAAATCAAACCCTGTAACTGTTGCCAATGGGGTGTTATTAGCAGGTTCACAAAATCCAACAGGTCCCATTTACGCCATTGACACAAAAACTGGGAAGATATTGTGGTCGAATGAGACTGGTGCAACTGTGTTTGGGGGTATGTCAGTGAGCAATGGCTGCTTTTATGTAGGCAATGGTTACAGGTCTGGAATAGGAGTCTTTAATCCTAACAACACTGGTGGAACATCACTCTTTGCCTACTGTGTATATTGAAATGCCAAAGAATGTTTAACTATAATGTATGATGCATTTGTTGCAGACATAAAATAAATAGATGAATAAATAAATGTTCTGTCTCTGACAGTTTAAGAACATGAGTTGATTTTTGTTTTTAACTTTTTACCGTTAGACTGTTGTTTAATCGATTGCAGCAAGTTATTAGAAAGGTTTCGAGTCTCTTATCTAAGTTATACACACTCCTCAACGTACACCAGCATAATTGGGCATGATACATACTTATACTTGGTGACCCAAAACTAATCCATATTCTTCAATAAGCTTTGGCTTTCACAATGCCAGAAGGGCAAGGTCAATCCTAATTTAATTTCAATGGAGTAGCATTGTCCTACTGCTGACTCTGGAACCAAGAAAATATTTGATTTAAGTTCTTGTCAGTATATAGTATGCGTTCTTGCTTCTTAGCGTATGGATGACCATTCAAAGACAAAAACTTTTTAAACGGTGGTTTCTAGTTCAATTTGGACACACCTCAACCATTCCACTGGATATTGTTACCTCCGACCAGCATAGCCGACTATACAAAGTTCTTTCCTTTTCCTACTCACCACCTATTTATGAGCCAAGAAAGATGGGGGAGGGAAATGCCCCCCATCAAGCATATAATGCCGACTATACAAAGTTCTTTCCTTTTCCTACTCACCACCTATTTATGAGCCAAGAAAGATGGGGGAGGGAAATGCCCCCCATCAAGCATATAATGCCGACTATACAAAGTTCTTTCCTTTTCCTACTCACCACCTATTTATGAGCCAAGAAAGATGGGGGAGGGAAATGCCCCCCATCAAGCATATAATGCCGACTATACAAAGTTCTTTCCTTTTCCTACTCACCACCTATTTATGAGCCAAGAAAGATGGGGGAGGGAAATGCCCCCCATCAAGCATATAATGCCTGAGATTAAGGGTGGCATGTGGGCCGGGCCCGGACCTAAGTGGGCTTCGTGGTCCCGGTCCTAAGTGATCCCGAGCTTCGCGGGCTTCTTGTTGAACCGGCCCGGGACCAGGACCACGAACTAACGGTCCCGGGTTAAGTGGGCCAGTCCCGGGTTAAGTGGGCCCAACGGATACTTTTTATTTTTTTAAAAATTTTATATAAGTTAGAGAAAAAAATGGTAATAAAAATATCTAAGTCAATTCCTTGTAAATTATATTATAGAANATTATACTGGGTTGTTGTATATATATATATATATAAGCTATATTCAATATAAGATATATATATATATATATATATATATATATATATAAAAGCTATATTCAATATAAAATGTATATACAGTATAGTGTATATATATATATATATAAGTTATATTCGATATTAAATATTGAATATTAAAATTTAGGATGTTATAATTATAAAAAGTTTGGGGTTAAAACAAAGTTGGAGGG